AGTACGGCTTAGTCACCCAGGCTTCATGGACTGCAAGCAACAGGAGCCTGTGGGGAACTGGCACCAGACCGACAGGCCACGAAAGGGCACGACCGGGCACGTCGGTCGTTCACATGCGTGCGGCACGTGTCGGACTGGTCCGGGTGAACGATCGTGGGTCGCGACCGAAGCCATTGGAAATGGGACGAATCGTTGCCACCCTGGAGCTCCCAACTCAACCGTTCGAAGCTGAATTCACCCCAAAGAAACGCTGAGACAGACACCTTTTCCAAAAAATCCAAGGGTTGTGTTCAGGAGGTCCTTGGAGCGAAAGAAAAAAGACACTCCCTGTTTGACTATTATCTATGAGCTCCTTTTTCCCGTTCCCAGGTTACCAGGCCTTGTTCTGGTCTTCGAGCTCATACTCCAAAGGTAAATACTGGAGGAGAAGTAGCTGCAGGAGGCGATTTCACTGTAGCTCGTCACGTCGTCGCTGTAGGAGACATAAACAATGGCATTCACTTGACTTCCACCTCAGCACCCTTTAGTTTTACGAATGTGCACAAAAAGAAGCAACGAAATTCTCTGTGGAGAAACATCATATATCAAAAGGTTAGGGCTCTAATGAAAAATCAACAGACATGGTTGCGATGCATCGCAAACAAGCGAAACAAACAACCTTCACCAGCTGTTGATTTATATAAACATCTTCATAGACTTGACAAACAAGCCACATTTGGTGGGCCAGCAGCAACACACACTTCTGATGCTGGTATGAAAAGTGTGCCACACCTAGCACCATGAATGATCCATCTATTATCTATGCTTGACTTGATGACTCCCACAAAGAAATCACTTCTCTGGGGACATCTTCCCTTTTCACCCCATGACGACGTACGAAACGTCTCTAGCCACTCGCCCAGTTTTTCGGCCATGTCGCCGGTGTTCTCGTCCACCGTGGCGATGGACTGGAGATTGGAACTTTGTAGGAAGACCATCCGCCCATCCACTCCGCCGGCAATGACCTTGGACGACGTCTGGAAGGAGAGGAGTCGAGTGGAGATCGGAGTTGGGGACGGAGTTGGGGACGGGCTCGAATTGCCAGGCCCTACAGGTTAGTTGGACATCATTGTACCGTACCAAATTGATCTAAAATGGGTCATGTAAAAACATGTAAAAACACGGGCTGCAAGGAGGTTTTCAGGACCGGGTTTTACTGGGTCAGACTGGACTTGCTGGGAGAGTCTAGCAAGTCCAAGCTTCATGAAGATTCGTTGCTGGACGTGGCGTTGGCAACTGGGGGCCTTTGTGCTGGACTCCCCCAATTGCAACATGGAGGAGAACTTACACCCGGAAAGGAAAATCCAGGAAAAAATCATGCACCCACCATGTTCACCCGACTAGTCCGTCAGCTTCACGACCCACCTCCCAGGTAGGTCCCCGCCGGCGACCCTGCGACGTGACGACCATGGCCTCGTTGAGTGTGAGCTGGTAGGTCAGTGCGGTGACACGGCTCCCCACGCTGCCGCCCTGCACCAAGCTCAGGTCCTTGCAGAAAACGGCTCTTCTCGTGAGGCACCCCCGACCGACCTCGGACCTGGTATAGACTGGAAGTCAAACACTCCAAAAGTTATGACTCAATGTGGTGCCTGGTGGTGCCTGGTCGTTCAGTAGTTTGGGACAAGAAACATGATTTGTGGTTGAAAGGTTCTGACAGTTCTGTTCATCTTCAAAAGTCCAAGATTGGAGTCTGTTTCTTTTCAGACTCAAATTGGGGGGTCCAGGGGTTTCTAAGATCTTTTGGCACACTTCCAAATGAACATTATGGTTTCCTTGGACTTTCTGGCACCACCATCTGGGGAATTACACTCCTGAAACAATCATGGAAGTGAATGGGATCGGACATATGACGAATCGAAACTGATGGGCTCGGACATAAGCTCATCAGGTGATGGGCTCATAAGTTCAGTACTCAGGTTTTCTGTGAAACCGTTCAAATCTATCCTGGCCGTACACAAACAGTTCATCTAACTGAAGAAGCACTTCCAGGCATATGATTGCAAATTAGGGCTGAAGAATCTGAGTTTTTTTGCACCGTTTCATGAATGTTTCGACCAAAAATCATTCATTGACCTCGATGAAGCCAGGAGAATCATGGATGTTCTCAGCACGAATTAGGGGTGGCGGGCAGCCAGCCCCATAGGTCTGGTTTCGAAATCCATTACAAGCAATCCATTTAGATCCTGGTTTCAGGTTTGGTCTCAAGTCGGCATTTCAAGCAGGATGAAGCAGCCTGGTGCTGGTGCCCAATCGATGGAAGGTGCAATTTCTGAGCCAACCTTGGTGCTTCACTTTTCTCCAAAGGTCGCCTTCTGTCACTAATGGTGGTCAACCGTGGTCAGTCTTGAAGCTGTGTCAACTTCTGCTTTCCAAATGTGTTCACCGCTGCCAGTGATCACTAAAATATCACACCATCAATTCCATCTCTTCCACCCAGCCTCCGCCCCTCCATGACCACCCAGCATTTTCACTTCTTGCCAAAGGTCTTGGCCGCGATACGCTTGCACGGCACCCAAATCGCCGCCCACCAGCAACAAATCCTGGAGGGGAGACGGAGAAACAACAAACGACCTGAATAAGCAAAAGGCATGCCCAACAAACGGGACCTCGCCGAGTCACCGAGTCGCCGAGTTGCCTTCATGGTCGCAGCCGGGTTTTGGCCGATCTTTTGGAACTGAGAAGCTGACCACATCTTCCGGTCGACCACATCCTCCCGTCACACCGACATCACCTGAAAAATCCTGAAATACCCTGCACCCCCTTCACCTGGAAAACCTTGAGGTTTGACACCATCCCGGTTCCTACAAACTCCGGTCCGACACCAACTTGCGAGAGAATCCGCGGCCCAATGCCCATTTCAAATCAAAGACTCGAGTAGGGTTTAATCCTGCAGTCTCCTGGTCCTGTACAGTACATCCAAGATCATCTAAGTACAATGGGGTCCATCATCTATAGAGTTCTACAGATTTCTACACATCCACAGAAGGATTTTTATCGAATTCTGTGCAGATCTCTATAGATCATCCCCAGAATTGATCTGTTACAGAGGGAAAATTCAGACTTCACCTCATGGATCCCGTGTCCTTGCCGGAGGCCTTCGGTGCGCGGCCACCACCGAACCGGGTCCCCCCCCCAACGGTCCCAGGCGTCGGCGTAGCGCAGCGCCGTGACGGGACCCACGGAGGCCGCCAGGGACCGGGACGCAGGGCCGCCCACCACGTGGCCCGGAGGGATCAGCGCACCGTCGAGCTGGGGGAGCAGGATCACCTGGAGTGGTGGATCTGGGACTTTTTGGGGCACGGGCTGCTTGTGCAGGGCTGCTGCACATCCAAAAGAAGAAGTTGTTGCGTGCGGTGATGTGTATTTTTCCAATATGGAAACATGATGTGACTGACATGGGTGAAGAAAAAGGGAAAAGAACAGCTGGGTATTTGCCCCTACGAATTGGTCGCACAGTATTTTTGGGTGGAAAAGACTATTGCATGGGAAAAATGCTGGAACAAACAAACAATGTGCGCATCTTTCTGGGCTGACTCGATCTAACTATATTTTTGTTCAATCAACCTGAAGCTGAGGTGGATTTCTCATCCTGGTGCTTCCCGTAGATTCCAAAGAGAGGCTAGCAATCCCAATGTTATTTGCCAAAATTCCTCCCGAACTGACATGCTGGCGACATGCTCAAGTCGCCAGACCTCCTGCTCTGCTACAAAGTGGATCCACAAAAAGCGGATTGACATGGATTGGCGAAGAAAAAGTTCGACACTCCAGTTCAAAAGGAGCCTGGGGTCCAGATGTAGCACCAAATGTAACACACCAAATGTATCACCTTCGGTGGACGAAACCCAAACAATCCAATACGAGCACATCTCCTGGCATTTAGCACAGAACCAATCAAGGCCCAGACCCAGACCGTGCAGAGCCATTCGAGCGATCGAAGTGCCATCACAGCCATCAGGCCAAGCCATGTTGCAAACGGCCCTGTTGAATCAAACGATGACAGGTGAGTAATGGGCCAACCTGGGGTCGAAGCTGCTTATGGCATGGACCTATTGGTTGTGCACTTGAGGGAATGCCCGCTATAAATCCACCGTCAAGCAATAATAGTGTTCAAGGCCAACAATGGCACTGGGTACGCCATCTGATCTTGGCGACACAACATGCGATGGGTGGAGTTTCCTGCAAACTGGTCTCATTGTAGACTTCTGTGGTTGATCCTCTTGAACAACCAGTACATCGATTGGTTCTTCTTCGAAGCTCACGTGCTACGTCTAACAGACGACTCTTGCTTGGCATTGTGTGGACAAGATGTAACATGCACCTGGACATATCTTAATTGTACAGCAAGAATCACAATGGCTGTTTTTTAGGTGCTCATGAGGTTTGCTAAATATATGAACTGAGCCAAAGGAATAGTAGGGCTCCGGCTTGGTACGAATCCCTATCTACTGCCATGCTCTGAGGTATCCCAGGGTCGGGTCCAGTCGTACCGAACCTGAGTCCCATCATCACAGGTCCACCCAGATACGACGCCAAGTCCGTTTGAAGAACAGTGGTCCGTTTTCCGAGACGTTTCGCCAGTGGCCTAGAATGATATCATAACTATACCAACAACCAGGAAATATACAGGTGAGATTAGGTGAGAGATGTTCATGGACCTCGATTCATGGAATGTGATTGTCTTTTGGTTCGTTCTCTGAGTTTCTATTGAAACCCTATTCAACATGATACGATCCAACAATGACTGTGTTGCCTCTTAGAGGATCAGCCAGACCGCTGCGACAATGGGACATGCGGCAACCCTCCGACTCTGTTGCTTCCAATCTGTGCGGGTTGTTGCATAGAAATACGAAATACCCAAAGTCGCAAAAAGAAAAAACAATGTCAAAACAACCAACAAAATCCAACAAACATGTTCCCTTCCAAACCAAGAAGCGGACCATCCACCCGGAGCCATTTTTCTCTGGACAGCTTCGGCTAGTCCTTCTGACCGGTGAGACGAGAGACCTCAATCCAAGCGCTTCTCGTATCGGATGAGCTCCTCACGCGCTGTGACAGCCACCGAAGGGATGTCCGAAACCCGTTCCACAGATATATAATATATATATACCTATATTTTAATATATTGTATATATATATATATATGCGTGAGTGTATTCCCTAGGATTGGAGCAACCATTTATAACTATATAGCCTTCACCTTTACCGAACAACCATTGTTTTAGGGGTTTTACACTATACAACACAAGGTCAACTATGTTAAAAATGGTCTTGGGCTCCCACTAAAAAGGGAGACCTCCCAGTTTGACCCCCTGGAAGGTTCAGGAAGTAGACCAGTCTACCCAGCCAGGGCAGGGGGTTGAACTGGGAGTTCTCCCTAATAATTAGCTCATATATACACAACATATCTCTGACTCCGGATGCTGGAGATCGATTCCCTCAATCAAAGGTTCCAAACGAACTCCACCTGTTCTTATGATTTATGTAGTGTGTCCCGTGTCCCCGACCCATGTACTCCGTGGCTAGGCCAAAGGACGTCCGGCGGCCAGAGGGGCCCCTGTGGCCCTTCTCGAGTGTCTGGGCTTATTGAATGATGCGAATCAAGCGGAACACCTACGAATCTGGCATGATCGACCCACACCAAAAGGAAGAGCGATCGCTTTGATTTGCTAGCGATGTCCCCCAACTGTCTCGAAGAGCGCGGAGTGCCAGCGATCCCTACGCAGATTCCTCTCGTCCGAGTCTGGCTTGTTAGGCATGAATGAGGATCTGGAACCCTACACAAAAAACATACGCACAAATAATGTATATACAGTAATTGATAGCACCGCAACCCCCTTCAAACCGAAACGTAATAACAATTTATTGCCCACTGACAATGATCCAAAATATATTGAGAGCAGACCGATGGCACCTTGTTGATGTCATCTTTCCGCTTCATAATGTACTCGAAGTCTTCTTTGCTCAAGGTCATCCATGACCTTGGTTTCAGACTGCGGAAGTTGGAGTTTCCATCTATAGTCTATGCAACCAACATCCGCAGGTGCTCGAGATGTCTTGTGGTGCACCAAGAATCTGGTGCACCGGCTCCAACAGTTGAGAGATCGACAGGTGACGGGAGGTTCGTCCCATCCGAGTTGAGAAATGAAGTTCTTCCATCAACCATGTGTTTGAACTGATTGAAGTTTAAAACATCTTAAAACTCTATAAGACATTGTTTTATATAGAGGAAACAAAGATCCAAGCCAACGAACCTTTCACCCTTTTTGTCTGAGCATTGAACAACTTACCACCAATATCCACGAATGGGCGAATCCACCAATATAGCGAATTCATTGGACGGTCTGCTGACTGACATCCTCGCTGGACTCATACCAGTATCATCCATTATCCACCCATGTTCTCTCATGTCCCTTCCGTTCTGAAAGTTCTCCAGCTGTTATGTTTTATTTTTTTTTTGTTTTTAAAGAAACGTATACATGAAAACACATCCAGCACCACCCAGTGAGCTCTGGTGGCTGATAGACCCTCACCCTGAGTTTTCCAGGTCACCATCCAACCTCTATACTTGACTCGCAAAAAACACTCGTTGCGCGAAACGACACCAAGATCCACGTGTTCCACGCAGAGCGGCTTCCCAGAGGAGTCCAAGATGGTGAGTTTGGGCACTCGTTGTCTGCCATCCTGGCAGCACCGGTGAAGTGTGTGGTTTTCCTTCCCTTTTCGGGCGCCACGCCGTGGGTCTGTCGCGTTTCAACATGAAATACACAAACACATTTTGGGAGCCACTCCGTCAGTTTTTGTTGATGTGGTTTTGGAAGAGGAGTTCTTTCTATTCTCCCAAAACGGTTTTGAGCCTTGAGGGTCTGGACTCGCTATGCCACCCGTGCCATGGAGGGTCCAAGGATTCTTAGTTTTTCTTTTTGTTTTTCTGAAATCCGTCTGCTTCTTTCGTAGCTGATCCTTCACTGAGGCAATCTCTCATGTTGCCCAGCCACCCTGGAACGCAAGTTGGAGACGTAGACTTCCCGGCCTCAGCACGGTCATCCAGCGCCGGTACAGTGTGGTCGTCTCATCATCTACTAGTAGGACTCCACCAAAGACGCAGTAAAAAAATCAGTGCTCGCTACGGCCATTTCCTGCTGGGGTCTTTTACATGGGGCTAATCCTCATCCAATTTTCTATGGCCCAAGAAAGAAACCCAAATGGGCCGTGTCTAAGACTAGCAGTTGAAAACCACCGATTGGCTCACGGACTCATGGGGTTTCTCAGCTCACGCCCAGTTTGGTATGGCATACCCAGTTTTGATGGCATCGAAACGACTTGAGAAACTCCAGGTGTACTGGCTGAAGGCGCGGCCAGACTTTGTGACATGATCTGTGACCCTACACTAAGTCTGTCATCTTCACGAAAATCATCGTCGAAAACCTCCTGAATTAAATCGTCTTCATGATGAAGTCGTGACACCCGGTCTTCAAGTGGACAAAAAACGAGCATTTGGTTCACCAAACATCACCAAACGCCCCCCAAAAACGGTTTTGCAGGTCATCCACGTACTTCCTGGATCTAGTGGGGTCCGCTCAGGCGCCCTCTTTCTGCTCCGAGATGCCAATTGGAGGGCCCAAGGGCAGTGCTTGGCCTTTTTGCTCTTTGTAGAACTGGCGGATGAGGGAGGACGCGACAGCCGGCCGCGGATGAAACGATCTGAACAACTGAATTTTATTCTTTGGGTCGACCAGGAAAGCCCAGACCAATTGGAAAAAACATGATTTTTCGTCCCCAAGACTGAGAGGTATGTTAAGAGTTCGCTGTTAGGCAGGTTGGGGGTCATGTTTCTTATATAGTATAAATATCCTGTCGTACCTAATATGTTTGTGTACCCTCGAGAATGAAAAGACCAAATAGATTGGATATCACTGCCTTCCCGGGCTCTCCATGACATCAGGTTCTTTCACCTTCCTACCCTGCAGAGACCAGACCGATCCGCTCCCAAAACCACGCGTTCCGAGAACCCTGCACAGTTGCGGCAGCTGCACGGGTGATCTACCATAGAGGTTATACCATGTTATACCTACAGTGTATATGTATAGTCTAGATAGCAAAAAATCCAAATAGCTACGCTCATGAAACGCAAAACTGTATACCTGGCTCCAGCTTCCTGCAACAATCGCACAACTTCCAAGGGGCCTTTTTCGGCTGCAATGCACAAAGCCATTGTTCCATTTGCATTTTCAGATATGGGATATTTGCAGCATCCCTGTCAGCCCCAGCCTCCAGCAACAATTTCACAATTTTGAAGTGGCCGTGTTGGGCAGTAATGTGCAAAGCCGTTGCCCCATTTGTCTTTGCACTGCATCTTTGTCAACTCCAGCCTCCAGCACCAATCGTTCAATTTCCAAGTGGCCTTCAGCTGAAAGGAATTGCTTCAGTTCGCGCACAGATGACCCAGCTTCCACCATGCAACGCAATTAATCATCCTCAAGTCAAGAAACTGTTGCTCCAAACGACCCTGCTGCTATGATCTCCATAGACTTAAACTGACAAACTGGCTCACACAGGTCGTTCTTGTTCGGCGTCAGAAACCAAGGATCCTTCTGACATGTGAAACAAGACATGGCGACTCGAAAACCTGGGCCGCCCAGTCTCATGACCTTCGACTAGACACAGCGCTTCCGCTCTTTGAGGAAAAGGGAGGGAGAGACATCTCGTGGGGACAGAAACTTGTTTTGTCTGGAAATTCTTGTAGACTTACAGTACTTGCCGCATACAGGTGTCCAACTGCTAGCACAATCACAGCCAATATACTATGCCATACTATGCCAGTCAAGGTACAAATTTCACACACATTCATTTGAATAAATAACCTGAATAACCTGAATTGAATCCCGCACTCCCTTCTTCCATGTTGAGCCTGAGACATCCCAATTGATCCAATTTGCACAAAAATACACGCATATTCTTTTGGAGCACTTGTTACTACTAGCTTCTTGTTACTACTAGTAAGGCACTTGTTACTACTAGCGATGCCCTTGTTACTAGTAGCACTTGTTACTACCTTCCCGAAGCTTCCGCATTTCCGCTTCGCCCTCCGCGCCCGTGGACCCGGCCTCGCGCGTGCCATCGAGCGCCCGATCGCGCAGCTCCAAGTCCTTCTCGCTGCAGCCGAAGAAGCTCCTGGCAGGACGGCAAGAGGTCGGTGGGGAGGTCGGTCCGAAAAGGCCGGAGATGCGAAACCTCACACTTTGAGTTGGATGGTACCCCAACATTCTGGCTAATCCCAGGCGAGTATTTCCAGCATGTCGAGATCATTCCAGTACAACAAGTAGTATAGGATTGTCATCGGTCTTGAACGGCCTAGCAACAACAAGTAGGGAGCTCCATGTTTCTTCCATGATGTTATACTGCGTGGGCAGCCCTCAACAACTAAGACAGTAAAATATTGTTCAGTTTTGTTTGTCGACTTATAAATAGTATATTATGAATTCTTATGATTGATTCATCTTTGCCGTTACAATATAATCATTCTGGGTTTCGACCAGGCAAATTCCAATCGTTATCTGCTTGGAATGGTGGTTGAATTTCGAGGTTCAGCCGCTCTGAGACCTATAAAAGCCTATAACTCTGGCTGTGGAGACTCTGTGTCTAACTTCTTGAAGGCGTGACTTCAATCAGCCACTTCGAACAACTCAAACATACAGCTTTCAGCGGTTGCACAGTGAAGTCACAACTGCCAAGTTATATACATGTCATGTGGTTTCTAGACATGTTAACTACTGATCCTCCATCCAAACATGCTTCTGCATGCTTAGCTTTCATCATTCATCTATGGCGAGCATCACAACCATCGCCGGCCAGTCGTGCTTCTGTCACACCCATCGCGAGCCGCGCCCGGCACGTGCCCGTCCACCCGTTCGGACGTGTGTCGCATCCTGCCCGTCTCCGTGTCGGAGCTGAATGGACGAACCTTGGGGAAGACACAGCGGGCATGGTGTCAACGAAGCGAAGACACAGCGGGTCCGTTCGGTGTACTAGTAAAGTTATAAGTAAAAGTTGTTTGGCGATTTGAAAGACATGGTAAGCATGTTCTTTGACCTTTGAGAATATCAGCGGTTTTTTAGGTCCTATCACAGCCTGCTAACATCATCGTTGATCAAATCATGGCTGAATGCTACGATCCAAATTCGTTAGGCCAAATGACCATGATATCAACATGTATCAACATGATTCAGAATTCAACATGCATCAACCAGGATATCACACTTCCCACCTCTGGGTGTTTTCTGCCAGGATCGCTCCTGCATCTCGCCCACCCCATCTCCACACCGAGAGGCCGCCGCACTGAGACGGACCGCACACAGCGACGGACCGCGGAACTTGCGCGGTCCGTGGCAGAGCAAACACCTTCTGCACACTGTGGAGGCCGCCATGGTGGCGTCAGCCACTAGCGGCAAACGCCAAAACACCCCTTTCCAAAAGATCTTGGCGAATGGTCTGATGTTTTTTTTCTGCAAGTTCAAGTTCAGGAAGAAATAGGGAGGCACATACGCTGGTGTCTCAGAATGTGCCTTATATAGATTTGTGGAGTCTGCAGCACTTCTACGGTTCTACGCCAGAATCTTTGTAAAGAGAATGCTCCAGGAGTTGCAAAAGTGCCTGAATGCAATTTCTTGTTGGAGGTCTATGAGTTGTTTCTGGGATACGAGCATAAAGGGTTTAAGGGTTGGGAATGCTGTGGAAATGGTTTTCTCGACACGATCTCTGACATGCAGATCACTCTGAGAGCCGACATGGTGTCATCAAATCCATGTAGGATGCCTCAATTGCATGCCTGGCCCTTTACGATTGCAGCCTGTGTTTGTTTAAACTTGAGGCCAAGGGGGGGGGGCGAAAGCTAGCGCTCCAGAATGGGAAAGTGGAGGGCAGCGAGGTAGGAAAAAACACGGCGCTCTTTTTGGAGGCAGGGGTGAAGAGTCCTTTATATGTGGCTCTTTGCCCGGATCCTCCTGCGAGAGAAGAGAGAGAAGAGAGACGGAAAGACGAGAGACAGAGAGGAGAGAGAGAGAGAAGAGAGAGAGAGATGAGAGAGATGAGAAAGAGATGAGAGAGATGAGAGAGATGAGAGAGATGAGAGAGATGAGAGAGAGAGAGAGACAGTGAGACAGTGAGACAGTGAGACAGCTTGAACTTCAGCTCCAGGAAGATGACAAGTGGTACCAGGAGGTGTATGAGGCAGCAGCGCATCGAGTTGGAACCCTCCTCACTGATCCGGAGCACTACATGAATGGGCATGTGGAGCCAGTGGTTGCACCCTACAAGGTACAGCCAGAGAGACCGCGGGGGCGCTTGGATGTGCTCCGCAGGATGAGTCAAAAAGACAATGGCCCTGGTGAGCACCAATGGCAGTTGAAGGGCCAAGGACTGCTGTGCCTGTTGTGCGGCCTTCACATCAAGAGCTGCTCAACGCATGCTGAGATTGAGGCCAAGGCAGCCACGGTGTGCCCCGGCGAGAAGGTCAAGACTTTGACAAATATCATGGAGGACATGCTCAATGCTTCGTCCCTGCAACAGGATCACCAGCCAGGGCACCGTTGGTATCTGCGAGCCAGCTCCTTTGGATGCAGCCGATGTTGGATCAAGGTTGCTCGCAGATGTGGTAAGGAGACTCTCCACAGGCTGGCAAATGAACCCTGCCAATATGCCGCAGTGACAGAGCAGGACCTCAATCTGCGCATGAGAGTCCACCCCCAGCACCAGCTGATGCAGAGGGGTCAGTGGCTTGAATGTCAGAAGTGCTTCAAAGTCTCCAAGATGACAGGAGGCAAAGTGCAACCGTGGATGGCACAAGAATGCCCTGGAAGGGCGAAGCAGACAAAGCTGGCCTTTGCACCCAGCTCTAAGCCTCCCCGATACAAGGAGAACGAGCCTTGTCGGGACCCGCTTTTCCCTTGACGGTGCGGGAGTCGACTGCAGCAGAGAGAAAGAACCGAGCAAAAAAAAAACAAAACAGTGAGACAGTGAGACAGTGAGAGTGAGAGTGAGCGAGTGCGGCCGCAAGATACGCAACGCTAACCGCATGCCAAAGAGCGACGACAGGACGGAGTCGAACTTACGAAGAGGGAGGAGGGAGGGAGGGAGGGAGAGAAGGTGGGAGGAAGTGGGAGGAAGACAAGGAGGAGGAGAGGGGAGGTGGGGTGGGGAGAGGGGAAAGGGGAGAGGGGAGGAGGGAGAGGGGGGGGGGGGGGGCTTCGACCTGAAAAATCAGGGGTTAGGATTTGCACCGGGTGGAAAGAAACCTTGCTATCGCAAGAGTAACTCCAGCTAGCTTCGCTAGCTTTCGTGACAAAACTTTGAAAAGAGTAACCGTTGTTTACATCCACCCAAGATCCCGTGGAGCATCTTATGAGCATATATATATATGCATATATTAGCTTTCAAGAAATCTCAGCAACAGCGTATATATTGAGAAAGTATCACCCAACAGCTACTTGGGTGTGTAAATAGGGAGACCTCCCAGGCGTTCCGACCCCTGGAAGCTTCGGAACATAGACCGCAACATACCGCAGCCCATAGGTTTCATGGGGGTTCCCTTGTTTAACATTTGCACACCCACCATCATCCACCCATTTCGTCCATTTGCATCTATTTGCCCCTCCTGTCGCGTCAGGACCCATTGGAGGCTCACCCCTCGCTCTACTCGGTCAGTCCCCTCCTATCGCTTTACTCGTCTTTCGTGAAGCAAAGACCCTTGGACGGCCGTCGTTGGAAGGAAACTTGAAAGGATCAGATTCTTGACCGACTCGTGCTTATCATAACGGGATGGGGGGTCATTCCCTCATTCCCTACTAAGCACCGGGCAGTTGAGTCAAGCAAAAAACGCACCAAAGCACGGACATTTTGCCACGAGCAAAGCAGCCCAATTCCGGAGTCCTGCAACAGAGGTCACGCGACACGCGGAGAGCCTTGATCCGCATCTTCTTGGTCGACCAAACACCAAGTGACTGTGAAGCATTCTTGGGCTCGCACGACAGATGGTGGTTATAATATGTATTCTTCCAAACATGGTCGGATGGTCTGGTGAGGCTGCTTTTCTTCATGGCTTCGTGGAAGCCAATGAAGAGTGGAGTGGATGAGAAAGTAGGATAGTGGAGTGATGTTGCCAGTAAAACAGTGACAGTTACAAATATGGCTGTGGGTCAAAAGGCACCCTGGTTGACCCCGAACATGAACAAATTCCTCTATCATATAAGGGGCGTCAACCTGCCTGCCATGGTTCTGTGCGGGAGTTAACATGACTCACCACGACCGCAAAGCATCGGAAAGTCTGACAAGGTATTTTGGCCTCCCACCGTGGGAGCACTGGGCAGACCGTGGTTCTTCTTTATGTCTCCTCACATGTCTGGACACATCCTCCTTGTAGATGGGGATCTGTAGACATCCTCAAGTTCCCCCAAAAAAGACCCCTAGACCCGTGACTCTAGATTTCTCCTTGTGATTTTAGGAAGAAGAACCCCCACATTCCCTGATCCCGACGGCACTGTGGTCCTGCTGCTCGTGCAGTCCTGAGCCGCTCTTCAGCCTGACGGAATCCGGTCCTGGTTGGTCCATTCAGGGAGATTCTGAGTTGCCGATCCGTAACCCTGAGTTGCCGATTGTCCCACCATGTTGTCACAGTTGTTTAATGTTCGTATTTCAACTATAAGTTACTTTCTTTTCTCACCCTGAGGCAGTTTCTTTTTTGTTCAGAATGAGCCGTATGGGCCTTATGGCAAACATCGCTAGATTCCACTCCCGGAAGCAGCTATATTTCACCACATTCCAGTCGACACGAGTGGCGAAGAAACGACAACCTCCGCAAGGTGCGAGCTTGTCTCGACCTGGCCCCCACAGCTTGTTGTCTCGACCCACAAACCGTTGTTTTTGGGAACATGTGGGGAAACCAATCCCAAAAAGGTTAGGTAGATTATCCACCTAATTTGGCAAATGTGTGCAAGTATTCCAGGTTTGCGCACAAGTATTTGGAATAGTCAGGTGGATCGAATGTTGAACGGTGTATGATGGAGGAAACGTATGACCCGAGGAAGGATCATTAATTAGGCTATACCCATTCTCTGAAGGATTGATAAATCAATCATACAAATAAGGCTCATTGATGATCCCGAACCTACAAAAACCTGCCAAATCATGGGAAGTCGAGCACCGTAGGACACCTACCATTACTTACACTTGGGCTGTCAACACTTTCGCGGAGCGCCAGTCACCGCTCACCAGAATTCACCCGGGAGTCGGCTCCGTCTCCGAGCGAAGAAAGCGCGTACGTCGTCCTGGTTTTTCTCCCGACGTCGTCCTCAAGCACGGACGAAGTGATCGAAGTGGTCACCAGGGCCATGGCACCCTGGTAGGTCCTGAACATTTTTAATGTAGACTCTTGATTCTAACCCCGCAGAGGAAGAGGACTTACAACCCAAGTGAGGATTTTTCTGGGGGGTGGTTGTGAATCAGAGTCTACATGTATAGGTTCCGAAGAAATCATCAAAAGACTGAGCACCAGACTAAATGCTATCAGCTGTATCTCGTGCCCAGCCACGGGCCTGTAGAAGCATTGCCTCCTTTACAGCCCGTTCAAACCTATAGCAAAACCTACTTGCAAGACCACAAAGGATCTGTCTGCAGGGCAAATTGCCAAGGAACTGAGCAATCATCGGGCTCAGCTCCAATGGCAAAGGTATCTTGAGAAATTTGAAAGTTTGGTTGCATGTGCACTGAAGGCCAAGCTGAGTTGCTCAGCTGATAGTACAACAACCTGCTTGCGCTCCGCATTTCATTAACCATGGGTTCTGGAGGGCTCCTTCTGCATCGTATCGCTCGCACTCAAGAGAGATCAACTTCTTCGCAAAGTGGAGGGGACGGGGGCCAATCCTCATTGAGAAGGCAATGACTGACAGCGCACGACTGAAGGAACACGATGAAACCAACATAGATCGAAGTTAGTGTCTTCAAAATCATGTTGGAACAGAATGCACTGTAGCTCGAACCTAACATGGTAAATCACACTGTCTACAAATTGCTTTCCTGAGCCCAAAGACCCTGACTCCACCCAGTTCTTCTCGCACAAGAGTTCCTCCATGTGTGTCTGGTCCTCCGTTGTCTCAACATCTTCTGGTCGCCAATAATGTTTCCCTGTGGCCAAGTTGATGAGAAGAATACCCATGCCTGGCTCAAAAGGACTAAGCACCATCAATTCATATCACTTCCACAAGAAGCCTTCAGTCTAGACCTCACCGACCACACCCAAATGTACCTTCCGCCACCTTCAGTTCTCCGGTGGATGGTCCTTCATCCGGAAGGACCGGTCTGGATAAAACAAAACCGCAGGGTTCAACACCAGGAGGATCCTACACTCCCTGGAACTAACATGGAAGTGGAACATGGCCCCGTAAGGAAGACCATTTTCCACTACAAACAGGGGGTTTTCCACTTCCATGTTAAAATAGTTCCAGGAGGTTCCTAGTGACATGGCTGTGGGAACGCCGACGCTGACACACCACCGGGCTCTGGTGCCCGACGCACCGTGAGACCAGGCGCTCGACCGGTGGAGTGGTCCCAACGACCTCCGTTTCGTTGAAGGTGGTGGGTGCCAGGGGGGGTCGAATACCACCGAACCTGAGGAGATGGGCCAGCAGCCCTTTTTGGGTCCTTGCAAGAAAACATGCTGCTGCAGTGGGTCAATCGAAGGGTGCGTTTCGATGCACCCTGTGCTTGCACACATTGCTTCGTGATCCAACGAAGCCGACGACCGATCGAGACATGAGTGAACACGTGTGGCCGGAGTCCGGAAATTCCAAGGGGAGCAACGTCTTCAAAGTAATTCAAACACAGAAAAGATCACTTTCACCCTAAAGTCCCTAAAGATCCTAAAGCAAACACTGTGCTGATGCACAATCTGACTGGTTTCTAAGTCTTAAAATCATGAACGCCGGGAACCCTGGTACCCCACCTGCAGTGACTGGTGACCGGTTCGGTGAAGAAATGTTATTTAAAAAAAAACCTGTGGCGGCCAAGGAGGGCAACCAAAATGACGCCAGGGCCATGGGCCATGAGGGATTGTCCACAAAGGTTGTGAAGATTTCACGCATCACATCACATCATAGAATTCTCACATTCTGAACACTGATTACCAATGCGTCTCACATCAAACACGGCATCTATGTGTCGATCATGAAGGTTTCGCGGCATCTATGTGTCGAACAGAACCGCGTAGTTGACTCATTTGGTCTCTTTAAGAGTCAACAATCGCACTGTTCCGACTTCAAGAGTCACAATGATTGCTAATCATCCTCACAGCCTAAAATGCAGCCCTTCACTCTTTGAAACATACTAAATACCTCAAAAATCCACATACCTTCTCAGGTTCGGTACGACTGGGCCCTAGGAGGGCGCCTACGGAAGTAGTCTCCCTGCTCACTGGACTGTACCTCAGGTTCGGTATGTGGATCCATAAAGATTAAAAAATCCTGCAAGTTGCTGTAGATGTCACACTTCTCGGTGTACCGGTGTTGCGGCACTTCGGGCGCTGTGAAAGGCCGCGTTCCCACGTGGTCTACCATGTAGTCGCCAGGTGTGAAGCGGGTGGCGAGGTTGAAATCAGCCAACTTCCAACGGTGACCTGAGAGCACAGGCATGTAGATGCATGTAGCAAATACGTTTCTTATACAAGTAGACTTAGTATAGACACTTTTTGTTGTGAAATGGTCTACTTAGTAGACTTACATTAGTTTAATTTTAAAACAAAGTAGACTTAGTAGATCATATCATATCACTGTCAGTGGAAAAAAGGTTCGAGTGCTCTTTGCCTGACTTTTTGTTCAATCGATTCGGGCCAGAACAAGTCGGACAAAAGGTTGAATTGTGGCGATGCTCAATGAACCGATGACTCACTTATAGTGTGCTAATTCGTTAAAGCTCGAGTCTTTTCACCTCTGCTGATAGGTGCTGTACCCCTGTACCCCACCTCCCTTAAAGAATCAATGAAGGCAAACATCAATTCCTTTCTCAAGGAACATCGTTGTTCAGCCATGTGACCGCCTGAAGGATGGTTTGTAGACAGCAATTGCTTCAATCCGAAGATCAATGACCCACCGAAACCAACCAAAGGAGTCGGAACCTGACCGAAAGAGTCCGAACTGGTCAGCCTGTATTTGGTTGGACCCTGCCTTAGGCTCGGATATGTTGAAAGTCTATCCGTCTATGGAGCGGTTTAGATTTTTTGGCCAGTGTCTGGTTTCCTTCCCATTTTTCAGATCTTCAGCTAGAGGACCTGAGGCCAAAAGCACATTGTCGGGCTTGACGTCGCGATGTGCCACGTGGTTCTCATGAAGATATTTCAACGTTTTCAAGAGCTGCCGCATTGCCATCTTGATGTCCACTACATCAGGTGGAAGGTAGACCTTCTTCGAAGCCCCTGGAAGGCTTTCAAAGTGCTTCTGGACATACTGGCTCATGGTTCCTTTCGAACATAGCTCCAGCAAGATGTCCACCACCCCACCTTGACAATAGGCATCCATCATCTGCACCACGCCCTCATGCTTCAACTCGCTCAGCAACTGCACCTGGAGTGGCTCAAACTATGTCAAAATTGTGTTTTGTTCCTTCCCGCCCAATTTGTTTCTTGCGAGGAAACCACAAAATCCACACCTGTCGGACACAGCGACGAAAACGTTCGTCTTTTGGCCTTTCACGAACTCATGCCTCATTTTCGCAGTGAGGATCCTTCTCCAAGGAGACCTGCTTCCATGCGAAATGCTTCGACCTGCGGTCTTTCTGCTTCACCTCCTTGACCTTAACGGATTCACCGAGTCACCGGACAGGACGATGGTCATCCACGCCAGCGGATAGGTGGGGCGGTCCAGTGGTGGGGTGGCTTGGATACCCACCATGAGCCTATTTGGATCTATTTGGATACCTCTTCTCCTCCAAACACTCATGCTACTGGCTTGGTGAGATCAAAATACGTGGCATCCCCCCAAACCTCCAAACGCTCAGTTTCGTCTACTCTGGCGCACTTCGTTGCTCTGAGTCGGGTCCCCCAGTCGTTCTGAGTCGGGTCTCTTCTTTGGGGTGGGCTATATACATCGCGGTCAGCAGCGTCTCTCATTTGAGCCACAGCCACCTGTCCAAAGTGTCCATGACCCAAATCCTTGATCACCTCGTAATATTCCAACACTGATGACACAGGTGAGACTGGAGACAATGTGGAGCTGAGTGTGGCAACGTTCTTCTGCACGGGCGACATGGTGGCAACGAGGACAACTGGAGAAAAGTGGCGGATGGCCCTTAAGGTGTCAATGTCCAAAAAGGTCCAGTGAGTTTTGCTGATCACGTCAGCATTTTCGTGCATGTTTGGCTTGCCATTCCGCCACCTTCTTCCGAGATCTCACAAAAATGCTGCCCAAAAACGACATAGAAGCATGGAAGGCAAGCTGTTGTACTTATTGTCCATTCTCTTACAACCCAATCCAGATTCTTCGCCCAGAACTTGAGACCCCAAAGAAACACATGTCCCATCTTGGGGAACGACTTCACAAGGAAAGTCTAGACTACCCACCAGCCCTCACCGAGTGAACACTGGGACCATTTCCTTGCAGATGTTTGCTCCATGAAATCATATATCATGGATTATCATGGTTACGTGGCATGGCATGGCCCCGATTTCGAACGACTCAATCCGAAGACCAAACAGTTGTGGTTGTTCACTTCCATGAATGATTGTTTCAGGGTCTACTCACCACGCTCACCTTCACTTCTTGATGTCCTGCCATCGCCCTCTTTGGCACTCTTTTGTCCAGCAGCCTATAATGCTTGCTGAAACGTGCACCGCGAAATATGTGCTTTGGACTCGCAAGTCGCACGACGAAGATGGCTGAAAGTTGCGACATACATCAACACTCACACCGGCTGCCTCTTGCAAAGCTGCACCGGTCGGTGTCCTGGTCCTGAGTGCTGTGAGCGAGATGAGTCGATCGAAATCCGGCAATCGACTGGATCTCTGGGGATCTCCATCTCGCCATCGCATGTGGTTTGATATCGTTGATCATCCAAAACAGGTCATTCATTGTTTTGTTCGACTTTGCCATCATCATCATCATCATCATCATCATCATCATCATCGTCGTCATGTGAAGTTTCATCATGCTCTTCATATATTTGCATCATCACTCCTTCCATACCGAGTATGAGGTCTAGTCTTCTAGCATACTAATTCTATCATATATACAGTAATGTAATATACTAGACTATCCATTTTCCAGGAGTGTCCAGGAAAGGGTTCCGCGCATTTTTTAAAACATCGTCTGAGGAGGAAAAAACAAATGGACCACGGTGGTACGAGCGAGTTATGGACCACAAGAAACTAAACTATAAATAACAAAATGACAAATAGGAATTGAACAGCAAATGGCCTGGGATGACTTGCAGATTTGGTTGTGGAAAGTAGTGCCCATGTATTTTTCCAAAATTTGCAACCCCCAGCATATCCCTCACTCCCCCACCCATCCCTCTCCTCCCAGCGTTGACCACTATCTAGCGATGCCCCGCGGGAGTGGGCACGGGTCTGCACTAAGACTGGTTGCACAGGCGAAGCTCTCGGGCCATTGGCGACAGCAAAAACAGAGACGAAGCACAAACGAAAAGGAATATTTGGGGTTCCAACATCACAAACAAATAGAACAAACGACTTGAGTGGAGCGGCTCGCAGAAGAGTTTTGTTCTGTCTCTAGAGACATCCGAGGTGATTGAGGACTCTATAGACTCTAGACTTAGACTGCGCACAGCTTTGCCACACTAGATGCAAAGCCGCAAGGGTTACTTTTTGTGGTGCTTCAAGTCTCGAACCTTATATACTCTCTTCCCTGTGCGGCACATGCAGCTGTACAGCCCTAGCGACTTAGAAAAACATACTTTACTTCGAGTGATCCCCACCATGACATTTCAATCATTTGTTGTCATGCCATGGTGAGGAGCATGTTGCCATGGTCGTGAGTTTTGTGGTTTTCGATTTTGCTTGTGGGCCCTCGGGGTTTGGGGTTTTGTTATTTTAGGGAGTGCGCGTCGGGGTGTCGCCAGGGTTTCCAGTTTGCATCCAAAAGTGCTACCCTCTGACCACCTGCCACGCAAAATGCCACACAGGTAGTTGTACAATGGTAACTATGTTTTTTTGTAGTTGTGATTGTGGCTGTGTTTGAGTGTTGTGGTTGTGGTTGCGTGTTGTGGTTGTGTGTGGTGTCTGAGTTTGTGGTTGTGTGCTGTGGTGGTGTGGTTGTGGTTATGTGCTTGTGGTTGTGTTTGTGCGTTGTGGTTGTGGTTGTGTGTTTGTGGCTGTGTGTTTGTGATAGTGTTTGTGGTTGTTGTGCTTGTGGTTGTGTGTTTGTGGTTGTGTGCTGTGTGCTGTGTGTTGTGGTTGTTGCTGTGGCTGTGGCGGCTGTGGCGGCTGTGGCTGTGGCTGTGGCTGTGGCTGTTGCTGTTGCTGTTGCTGTTGCTGCTGCTGCGGCGGCGGCTGCTGCTGCGGCGGCTGCGGCTGCGGCTGCGGCTGCGGCTGCGGCTGCGGCTGCGGCTGCGGCTGCTGCTGCTGTTGTGGTTGTCGTTGTTCTTGTTCTTGTGCTTGTGCGTCGTGGCTGCGTGCTTGTGTGTTTGAGGTTGTGTGTGTCCTGTGCTTGTGGCTGTGATTGAAATATTATGTAGGTGGTTGTAATTGTGTTTGCGGCTTTGTGTTTGGCGTTGCAGTTGAGGTCTGGTAGTGCCCACTGCGATCTGGCTCTTGCGGTTGAGGTTCGGTAGTGCCCACTGCGATCTGGCACTTGCGGTCGAGGTCCGGCAGCGCCCACTATGATCGGGAGCTGGCAGTTGAGGTCCGGCAGCACCCACTGTGACCGGGCGCTGGCGGTTGAGGTCTGGCAGTGCCCACTATGATCGGGAGCTGGCAGTTGAGGTCTGGCAGTGCCCGCTGCGATCTGGCGCTTGCTGTTGAGGTGGCGAGGAGCGGGCGGTCCAGGACGAAGAGAAGAGCTCTGGTACCATCTAATTGCTTTCACCTAGCAGGTGGGGAAATACAATTTCTTCCCCCGGCCTGTGCACATGTTCAAGTAGGAGTGCCATGTGCCATGCGCATGCAGCTTCTTTCTTCGCTAAGTTCTACCGTTTGTAGCTCTGAGGAGACTGAGAAGTGTTTCCTCCATCGACTTATCCGTGGCACCCGCTGTGCTCTTTGCTTCGTCACGGCAGTGAAACATCAGTCCTTCGAGCTGGCGCGAGGTGCCGGGAAGACAGGCCCCAGGGCACTGCAATATATGGACCTATAGAACCTGAATGACCTCTACCTTTGGACCACCAATCACCCCAAATATGATGTTGTCCATTCACAACAGGAGTCAATTCAACTATATAGGTTTATATTGCTACAATGTAGATGCCGGAATTCAACCGTCCAATCTGTAAAGATGCCCATCCCATGGAGTGTCTGGGAAAAAAAAAGGACACACACACACATGAAGACATCTTCCGATTGCACGCTTTGGTTCAAGCGGAGGAAACGGGAGCGTCGATCCACAATTTGATTTGCTTCTTTTGGAAACCACAGAGGAAGGAAGCCTAAATGACCATGTGCAGGACGGTGCAGCCCGAAGAAAAATATACTGTAAGCTTTTAGACATCAGGCTAGGCTTCTGGAAGAGTCTATTCCACAAGAAGGACTTCAAGCACTTATTCAATGAATGGGATACATGCCCCAGCCTGTTAGGTCCTTCTAGCAGACTCTAGCCTTTTTGGAGCCGCAAAAACCACGTCAAACACGTTCAACTACACATTCAACCGGTTCAGGAGTGGCCCTCGGACACCGGTCCAGGAGTGGCTCTCAAAAGACTCAAACACAACTCACACGACCTGGACACTGGGACTGGAACATTGAGGGTTGGAGCCTGGCCTTTTTCTGTGGGGAGCCACCCCTGGCCAATTCTGTATGGAGTGTCAGGGTTCTGCAGGGTTCTGCATGGGGTTTCCCCACCTGCACCAAGCAACATGAATAAGCAAGCCATCTGTTGCACATGCTAGTCAACAATTCCAACAGCCAAAGTGATCCATTCTCTTCTTCACCATTTTCACACCTCGAACCACGCAGAGATGATCTGTTCAGACGGCCCCTTCACTGCAGTGATCTGAACCCTCGACAAACACCACCTGTCTGGGACTGGATCACGTGCCTACATGGACCCCGGAATTCAACCTTCCCCAATCGGTTTCAGGCGGCACACAGGCCAAGATGTCTGGCCAAGATGGGGGCCACCACCTTTCCATCTACTCTCAATCCACATTTCAACATGCCAGTCCCATGGGTCATGTTTGGGACTTGCACCCGCACCCATGAATGCGTCCTGTGTCGTGGCAGTTTGGTTGGTGCAAGGCGTCACGAACTCTCTGGCCGAGCTTGGCACATGCTTGCACCACGTTGGGTATCTGCCCGGCAGATCCGCAGGCTCGGCATCCGGAGTGCCAAACCAGCAGGGCGGCACCAAATATTGGACCACGTCCTCCAGAACAGCGGCGGGCTGGTCTGCCAGGCACTTGGATATCCAACAGGAGTGATCCGCGTTGAGCTCTTTGTGTTCATTGATCCACGGGGGCTGCTCGCTTCAACTGGATCTGCTTAAGCATGTTGCGAACTGAGACCCATCCGGGTCAATGTGCGATTTTCGGGCCACCTTGGGGGTTGTAGAGTTGTTTCAGCTGGATACTTTTTGGGGGGGGACCATGAAACATGGAGATTCCTATCCAAGAGACCGTTGATTCCTACTTCCTACATCTTCCTACCATGGTCACCATTTATAATACTTCATGAGATGGATCTTGCTGAAAACCGGTGGTCTATACAATACTATAGATATATAGACATCTATAGACTATATAGGCGACAAATGTCGGTGCTACCGTGCATGATATTGGTACAGACTGTATAGTTAGTAAACACGTGCAGGTGCAGACAACAATGTTCTCATCGAAGGAATTGCAGGAGGCCAAGGCCGGGTGGAGAGTTGCCAACGTCACACCGCTTGTTGGATCACGAGCCTAGTAAAAGGAATAAGAACGTTTGGTCCAACCGAAGGATTGCTGCATATAGTTGCGGCATGTTGCGGCTAATTGTCGCTGATAAACCATAGGTTTTCATCACCTCTTCACATCAAACTGATTCAAGTCGTACCCTTCTTGCGCATAGTTCCATTGGAATACGCGTGCGTTTTCCATGCTTTTCCGGTCTGTGACTGGACCGATCCCAAGAAGCTCTACCGAGGGAGGGTGACCGGACCCCTGCTCACCCGACCTCTCGCTGCAAAGAACACGTTAAACATCTTTAAACAAAAAGTCACCGTAAAAAAAGAAGAACAACGTCACCCTTAACATGGGGCTCACTGTTTGTCCTTTGGCACAACCTTAAGTACTTTTCCCCAAGAAGCCAAGGATCCGAGATGTAGCCGCACCAATATGGAGAGTCCTCCTTCAGCTTCGAGTATCCTCAATTCCCGACAGGTCCAGTCTGCCCCCGTAAAACCTGGGCCTGAAACCTCATTCGTGTTTTTTGTATGATCAACTCCAGTTCCAACTGACCTGTAAGATTGCCAAAGCAAACAACTCAGGCTTGGGGCTTTTGGTTCTGTCTGTCCCTACCTTCTAAGAATGTGGTTGGAGGATTATGCCAGATGCTTTTGCACATCCGGTGAATCAGAGCATTATTATTTAAAGTGGAGCTTGACAGGGATATCCCGCGGCCGGTGAATGGAGATTTACTTTCCATCACAAGCAGATTTAGGGATCACTTCATGGGTTTGACTTGCTCCTAGCCTTTGGTTACGTTGGCTATATATAGATTGGTCCTTAACCTTAACTGGGTGGGGAATTCTGTATGACCAAATTCCAAAAAAAATGAGTCCGTTGACCTGTACAGAATTCCAGTATGCAAGAAAATCGTAGAAAAAGGATTAAGTCCTCCTAGGCCGCAATCTAGAGCCCGCCAGAATCAAGAAGAATCGTTGGTGAATGCCAGTGGTCAAACTATACGTACCAAAAAAAAATAGCTGGACACAGAACAACATGGGGTCCAGGATATTCCAGGATGATGAACTCATTTCTTCCATAGTTTGGCTGACAACATCAAACCTCATGAACAACATTCCCTCAAGCGGTCTCAATCCAACAAGCACTGTGTGTTTGAATCGCATCATGAATCAATCAACATGCCTTCAACTAACAACACACATTGAATGGTGAGACGGAGGGCTTCCGAAACTTCTCCTCCCAACAAACAACACGACATGAACAACATCACGTCTGGTCATTCTGGCTTTCGACCAGGTCTCTCTCAGCCTTCACCTCGTTCAACGTCGGGTTCACCAGCCCCGAGCTGCTGTTGCTCGCACCGGACACGGCGCCCGACACGGCGCCGGCCGCGCCGGACACCGCGCCCGCCACGGCGTCGGACACGGAGGACACGGCGCCCGAGACCGCCTCGGAGGTCTCGGCATCGCACGGGGGCACCGCAAAGCGGATCGCCTCCTGGGCGCGAGGGGAAACGCTCTGGCGACGAGTCGAACGTGCAGTTCGTGAGCTGATGTTGCGGTGGGTGCGTGAGATGGTAGGCCGCAGAAAACCACGACTGGTCAATGACCAGGTGCCTTGAAGAACGGTATAAAAACGATCAATTTGCGGCAAATTGAGGTCCTTTCATGACCTGTAGGTATATAGACGAGTTCTGGCTACTTGTAATTTCTTGGATTCACAATCAATTGTGAGTGGTCACGCGCCGTGAACATCTATACTACAGACTAACCAACTGTTCCAACTTGTCTCATCTTCAAAACATGTTAATAAATCAATAAGACACACCGTACAAGCAAACACATATATAAATATATACATAATGAACTGAAACCAACTTGTCCATCTTGGCGCAATCACCAAACGGCTGTGATCAAAAATACGAAGCATCCGAAAGCCCCACATTCCAGAAGCATCGTGTTCAATGGTTCGTTCTTTCACGCCAAGTTTGGCAACGCCATGTCGACCATGACGTGACCATGACGAAGATTCTCCCCGTTCAAACATGACATTCGACTTGTCTCGATCCCCTGGGCACCCACGGAGAAGACGCTACGAACGTAGCAAAGGGCATCGCTACTAGGAACAAAGGGCATCGCTAGTAGGAGCAAGGACGCTACGAACGTAGCTCATGGCATTTCTATACTATAGTAACAAGAACGCTACTATCTCAAGAGAACATTCTCCCAGCCAAGCCACAGGTACGTGCTTGCACCAACTCGGGTAGCCGGCGGGTACGTCTTCTGGTTCCGGGCCAGGTTCGCCAAACCAGCACAAGGGCACCAAATTGCGATAGTTCTCAGAGATGTACCTGCACCTTGGACACGGACCCACCTGTTAACGGCAGCATGTGAAGTGAAGTTCTGCCCTCACCGTGGAGACTGTTGACTCATAAATCACACTACCAAGGAAAAATGCAAAGCTATGCATTGCTGCCATGTGATTAGCGGGGGCCAAGAGACGACGAATTTGGTCTATTTCCCCTCTTCCAGGCCTGGAAGAGGGGGTCGTTGCCTGGAAGGTCTCTCTACTTGAAATACACCGATTTCCTGATCAAACAGCGGCCAAGACTGCCAAAGACTTGGAGGACTTGACCTTTGACCCATCTGACAGTTTGACAAAATCTACCCGCTTTGTTCTTGCAGGAAATACAGGCAAGGTCAACAGGAGCTATCCGGTTACCCTGCATTGAATTTTTGTGCATCAGTAAACTACTGACAATATGTTAAAGAATATGGAAACCCATGACCCATGATCGCTTTATAAAGACATGGGGGTCCATCCGGACCTTGCTCCAAAGCTGTGCTGTGACGTTCGATTTCTTTCATGAATGACCAACGGCCACCACTTTCCACAACGCAGTATCCATAACTCATGTATCTCTTAACCCCTACCCAAGCCACAAAATCTCAACGTGACCTGCCATGACTGGCCCCATTGTTCGACCCTGAAGGCCTATAAACAAGATCAAACAAGGTCACACCACCACTGATGAGGCTGAAGACAAGCTTTTCACGAGGTCATTCGATGTCTGACATGGCATCTCTTCTAAGGCAATCACCCTCCGCACGTCGTTTTCTCTCCAAGGTGCCAGTATGGGGACTTGCTCTGGGAGCGTTCCTGAGATGAGTTCCTCTGGCCTGGGCCTAGAGCCCTGAGTCGTTTCCATAGGAAGATAGCTCACTGGTTCATGATTGGCAGGGAAACCATCACCCAGAAGGGTTGGTTAGGTACAGCAACGGATTAGGATTAAAACGGCGCTCCAAATATTTCTCCTCGAGCCAATTTTGACTTTTGAGGTGTCCTTCCTAAATCGTACGGGAAGGTCAAGCTCTTTGGAGGCATGTGCCAGCCCTGAGAGGTTCAGAAGCTGGATTTCGAGTGGTAGACACAGTCTCCCTCAGAGTTTCCAATGTCCATTCCAATGTCCATTCCAATGTCCGAGCAACATTGCTCTCAGAGTCCAACTACAACCAAAATTGGAGTTGCATATCGGCATATCCAACTATACCGAGATCTTCCAACTAATATGTCTTTTCGTCCTCTGTATTGCAGCCCGAACCCACGGGATTCAGCACTTCATGCTTGCCCATACAAAAATCGGCCCGAGTTCTCGTGCGACAGTCTTGACCAGGAAGTTGTTCTTCCGATCTCACAGAGACTTCCGATTTTGAACATGGATTTCGGAGAACATGGCCTTCCTATATATAAGTTATCATAAGTTCGCCTCGCTGCAGAGATCGACGCAGGGAATCCCTCCCCGAAGTTTGAGTCATCTTTGGGCCATGTCGCCTGATGTCTTTGGAGCAGCCGCAGCCCTGAATCCTCACAGTCCTCCGGTAGACCTCCTTCGCTCCACTCGGTGTTTCCCACTGAGACCTCGCTTCGACTGATTTCGTCCGACCACTTTGTCTGACGGTCGATGTGGACATACTACGTGGACGGTGTTTCAGCACAGGGTGTATTCTCGGTGGCATCCAAAGCCACTGGGCTACAGGAAAAAGACTTTACAACCTCTGTTTTGTTTGGAGTATTTTAGCCATCATTGCCATCATCTCTAAAAGATCTAAAAAGCTTTTTTTGCCCCCCCCTCACAGAGTATACTCTCAATCAATTCAATCAACGGCCGCGTGAAAACACGGCCAAGTTCCCTTCACCCCATCGACTCTTGTAGAAACAACCGCATCGACTCGTTCAGTACCAGCCTTCCCAGCGGTTCGAAAGAACCGACAGAAGACACTGGAAGAAGCCGATCCAACCAGCGATTGGGACCCTTGTTTCTTCGTGGCTAGTAATCCCATCCACGTGGGTTTTGTTGACACTTAATTTTCCCGATCAGGGCTCCGACATGCTCCGACGATTTTCTGAGAGGATGGTTGGTCATGGTTGGGGTACCTTCGGATGTGGCTGGAGCATGTTAGATGTCTTCCGGGTTTCGTTCGAAGCACAGCTGAAGAGTTGAGCTCGTGACAAAACTTCCAACGCTCTTCGTGACAAGAGCTCTGCGGCGCTAGTTCGCAGGATCTCATGGGATATGGATATGGGATAGTTCGAAGGATCCCCTGTCAAACCTGGTCAAAGAATCCAGCCCATCTTCCAGCCCATCTTTTTTGGTTTTTGGGTAGAGACCTGGTCCAACATCCGACATCAGAGACCTGGTCCTTTCCATCCAATGGAAACTCCAACAAAGAGACCTGGACCATGTTTTGTCAATTCCAATCCAAGATCCCGAGGGGCGCAGTTCACCCGAGGTGCGCCGAGGCGCGGCCAAAGCCGGTAAGGCGAAAGAGGCCCAACGCCAAGACCTGCGGAAAACAGAAGAAGGCGGGGAGGATGGATGGATGTCTTCCATGTAAACTCCGGATAGAACAAACTGATGGGACGGGAGGAAGATGATAGAGCAACAATTACAGCCATGGATGGATGATAATTGAATAGATGATCAAATTGATGTTCCTTCTCCAAGAGAGACCACCCTTTCAAAAGCTTGCATGCTTTTCGGATGCTTCGAAAGCGTGACCGATGGCAATCTCCTAAAACTTGCTTCGCAGTCGTCGTTGTTCGGCAGAACAAGCTGCTCCCGGAAGTCCGGTGCAAGAGTCGGTGACAAAACCTGACTGGGACTGCTCCTCCCGATGCGACATCGCATGTTTGGCCCTCTTCTCAAAAAGTTGACTTGGGTCTGAGACTGAACTGGACTTCAGTGATGTCCAGAACCCCGACGTGGGACTTACTGAAGGACTCACTTGGTCCGGACGTCACTCACAGCCCAGCGTTTTGTTCCACCGGTCAGTACGGATCGGGATGCTAAGTCAACGACATGAGGAGCTGCACCGACAGGAGCACTTCGGTGGCCGTTCCGGCAGGGTTTTACGCACTTTCTTTGAGCATGAAATCACTTTCGGTGAATTCGCTGGTCTGGGACAAAGACAAAGCCCTTCAGTTTCCAACCTTCTCCACCTCTTGGATTGTACAAGTAGTGGGGAAACCAATCTCCCAAAAAGTTCTTGCAGGTTTCAAGACTGGCTATAGCTGGGAACGTGACTTGAACACCACATCATAATTTGTCGATCCCTGAATCCTATGTGTTTACTGTTCGTGCTGATGTGTTCGTGCTGATGGGTCATCCAGCGACACGTTTACTGACTTCAAACTGCAGTAGTAAGCTGATGGGCCCCCATGGCGGACCCGGAGACCTGGTCAGACCTCCGGGTCACATGAATGGATTTCCTGACCTGCTGGTCAAAGGGATGTCAATGACCCTGGTGGTGGAGGAGGTGCCAAGGCACCTCCCTCACAGCCGCATCACTTCCATGTGTGGATCGGGTCTCCCTAAAGGGATCTGATGGATAGAGCTGATGGTTTCCGGAGATGGGAGGATGCCCTAGAAGCGGCTCCTTTTTCCAGGACTTAAGACACTGTCAGCGCACTGTTATGTCTATACTTTCCATGTATATAGCTGCTGTGGTATCTGTCTGATATTGGGGAGGGATTTAGATCCAAGATCTATATTCCATTGTCGCCGGTAGTTTGGAGCAGTTGTCTGATCCCAGTATATGATATCCTAGTAGCTGCCCAACCCAGCAGGATCATCCTGGCACAGGACAATGTGAATTGTGCTTTCATCGTCCGCTGTAAAGTCGGTACAAAGAACATGCATGAAGGACAGCCTTCTAACTGGACAGTCCAAAAAGAGTGAAATCCTTTTTTTGAAGCAGGCTGAAGTTCATGCAGGAGAACTGCGAGAATTCTATACCCCAAAGTGCACCCAAACGTGGCCTACATGTACCACCAAAGCCATGAAATGCAGGCCATATTGGCGTACATGAAGCGTAGCTGGGGCAGTGAAAAGACCGGAGCTGGGAACCTCCAAGGCTAGTGGATCATGTTTTTCTTTGCGAAGAGGACATGTTCGACCGATAGGAGCACCTTCCTTTCCAAATTGGATCAACGAGTGCCTTTTGACACCATGCCACAGCCACCACAGCCACACCTAGACCTAGACTTCCACACCTCCCACAGTCAGTCAGGTTCCACCTGCATGCCACCACCGTCCTCTCACGTCCGAAGGCGCCCATCGCACCAGCCGATGGGTCCGTTTTTCCACCGTCCACCCAGCCGATCAGATCCTTAGGGTGAGACCCGCTGGGTCAAGTGGATCGAAGGCCAAGGCCGAACGCCGAGGCCGCACAGAACCGCACGGTGCCAATGAGGTTCCGAACAACCTGTCACAGTCCAGAGGAGTTCTCCGGAAATCCTGGCACAGTCCAAACTGAGCTGCCCAAACTTGTGCAGCTCAGTAAAAGGAAACGTCTCAATCCGTGCCACAGGCGCTCTCATAGTCGCTCTCCTGCAAGGAGTGAGGAGGCGCCCACCGTTCGTTGTCAAGAGCTCAGTAAATAGAAAGGGGAAATCAATCAGGTCACATTCACTTCAATATTTCGCGGTGTGTTCCGCCTGTGAGGCCTCTTTAACACTATACGCCTGTGAGCACTAAAACGGGTGCCTCAAATCCAAGTCTTCAGATTGACATGCCTGTTCCGTAATCCTCGAAACAATCAGCAGAACGGATGATCTTGGGCCGTGCATTTGATCTCTGCCGTTTTGGAATTATCGCGGGAATCCTATTGGCGCTCTCCACGCTGAAGGAACCCAAGAGGCGAAAAGCACTTTGGACGGACCAAACGAAGACCTGAAGACTATCTGAAGACCTAAACTTTGCAAGTTCCAATCCAAACAGTTCATGATCTGAAGAAAAAGCAACGCAAGCCATCACAAATCCAACTCTATTGGGGGTCACTGTGGAGGCATCACCTCTGCACCATATCCCTCAATTGACCACCGCTTCCAGGGTCTCAGCAGTGCCTCTGTGCGCTTGCGTCCGACGACAGGTCCCCCCTGCCGAGCACAAGAAGTGGGAGTTGCTGAAGCCCCGAGAAACTACCGAGCTCAGCAGCTTGGGGATCCAATATCATCGGAAGATGTGGATACACCGAGAAGTGTGACATCTACAGCAACCTGCAGGATGTGATCCCTATGGATCCACATACCAAACCAAAGAAAGTGATTGCTTCATGTAGGTGCCAGGACGGCCCTAACGTCGTAGCTTCTGAGATGGTGCCAGGACGGCCCTTGATAGTGATCAGCTGTTTCAGAAAGGGGCCCTGGTCCGCATCAAAGTCCACCAACGGAGTTGGGGGTGCAACACCTGGTGTGTCTTTTGGTATTGCTTGCTTACATCAAGAACATGGCGAATGGAACCTAAGACACCTCCTGGAGTTTCCCAACAGGCATGGTTCAATTCTTGCATACCAATCCTGGGCCATGATGATTTCTGGCCTTTGGTCTCCTTTTGACTCCCATGGATCTTCTGGGTGCTGAGATGATTCTGCTTTGTCTCCATGGTTCTCCCATGTCAAAGAAACATTTGGCCAAAGGTGTTGCCGGCAAAAAGAAGCATCAAGCTGCCGCTGCTGTTTGGGGTTGATGCTGGTGTACATTGACAAAGCAAAACAAATAACATCAGGGACTGTCTTGCTGGCAAGAACTTCTGAAACCAAAGCAATGCACAAAACAGGGTTCAAATAGTTCCACCGGACGCAACATGTGTTCCAATGCAATGATATGTTCAACATGTTCAACACTGTCTGTTCATCTTAAGCAGCAGGAAAGTGTAGTTTGCTCTACAGTGTGAAGGCTAAAAACAATGGCAACTTGAAGTGGGTTTTCTTCAGCAGACTGCAGTGGTGTCCCAAATAGGCGTCACCTCCATACACTGGTGCGGAACACCAAAGGAATTTCACTGCTCAGTGAGCTGTGCCACACAGCCAGGCCTCCTTGAGCTGCTCGCTCACAAAGCCAGGCAATGAAACATCTTCCACCTGACACAAAAACCGTGGAAGATGCCAGACCTGATTAGTTTATGTCCAAATTTGGAGATTTGTCACTACATACTATCATATAATATAAAATGTTCATACTGTACCTGGTTCTTCAAAGTGACCTTTTGATAACCTGGTTTGAGGTCACTTAAGCCTCCTAAGGGTCACTTAGGAACATTCAAAAGGTCACTTTGAAGAAGCTAGTATATATATTTAGTATAAGTGCATATATGCAGAGCTTGCACATGCTTGCACCACAGTCCAATCCCTAAATCGGAGACCCCTTCCAGGTGGCACGATGGCGGTCGGAGGCGCCTCTGAACGGTTTCGTCCCAGGACTGGTCCCCGTCCCACCTGAGACGATGATCCGGCGGAAGGTGCGGAACGGGGAGGGTAAAAATAACTTCAGCATCACATAAAGGATTCTCAGGACATGGTTAGTGACATACCTGGTAAAGGACATGGGATGAGGACAACCATTCACTGGTAAAGGACATGGTAAGGGACATGGTAAGTGAGGTTTCACCATCCTTTGAGCGGTGCTGGCTCAGCTGGGTTGGTGTTCAAGTCCAGTATCCCAGCCAGTTTTAGTGCGATGGGACTCAGGTGTGCGGCTTGTTCCCCGTCTCGACGCATTCGCTTTGGCGCACGGCGTAGGGCATCCATGACACAACCATGCCCCAACCCACTAAAGAAACGCAGCCACATTAATGCGACTGCTGGCACGACGTGTTGCATTTGTCTTTTGGCGCATCAATGATCCATGCCTGGATGAGTCATATATACGATATATAATCGTATACTATAGACTATAGACTATAGATAGATAGTTATATATTAGTTCAAACTCTGGCCTCTTTGTCTGTGGGTGTGTATGTCTCAGGCCTGGACTGTGTAACAAACAATGTAAAAGTAGGGCCTACGGGCCTATGGACCCTGTGGATATCCTTTGCTGTGTGAGCCTGCGACTGTATGTATGTGTGTGTGTGGCCACAAGATTCCACCCCTCCAGGCAGTGATTGGCTCACCCCCTTTTCTCTGCTGGATGATGTCTCTGGTAAACTCTGCGCAGAAGACCGTGCAGGGACAGAAAAGAATCACAGAATCACAACTAACTAACTAACTATATAAAACTGACATATTGGAAGTATTTATTTATGGATTTATGGATTCAGAATTTATGCTTGAGTGCAAAGGTGGGAAAGGCCAGTGACACATGTACTGAACCTGCACAGTCTGCCAGCCTCACACTGATCAAATAACCTAAGGTCAAAACTCGGCTGCATTCAGCAACCAAAAACCCTTCAGCACTCATGTCTACTTTTTGGCCTTTTTGGCCACCTTTTTTGGCTCCGGTTCTTTCTCTTTTTTCTCTCTCTTCGGTTTTGAAGACGGAGCTTGACTACCCTTGGCTGCTTTTGTGGGCTTCTCCTCATCCGCATTGTCTGCACCAGCGCGTGGTTTCCTCTCTCTCTTTCGACCCTTGGGCAGGTCTGACAACACATCTGAGACCATCTTTTGAAGCTTCCCAGGCAAGTCACCTTTGGTGAAGGAGTATGACTCTTCAAGTCTTTTCAGGGCAGCCTCAAACTCCAACTTGTCTGGGACTTTGCCACCGCGGCCCAGAAACAAATCACTCATGATGAGACATCCTGCGGAGATTTTGCACTCCTTGAGCAAGCTGAGGGCCGTTGCTTGTTGCTTCTTCAACTCATCCATGAAGTCCATGTACTCTTTGTTGCTGGAGGTGTGGTTCAACAGGCCCGTCATTGAAGAACACACCTTGACAACGCTTTGACATGTGGCCTCCAAAGCAGTCAAGTCGTGCATGATGTTCTCTTCATTGGTGATTTCGAAGAGGCTCTCAACTGGCGCCATCTCCCATCCTTCAGCACACTCTGCAACCTTGTTGTACCGGGTCTGGAAACTCTTCAACTCGTCCATCAATCCTCCACCAAACATGTCGAGGTGACGTTTGGCCGCCTGCAAGAAGGAATTCACATAGTCCTGAGAGGCGCCTTTGATACCTTCAAGCACCGTGTCCTCCATGATGGGGTCAGTGGCAGCCAAGGAGAATGTCTCGAACAAAGAGGTGTTCTTGACCAAAAAGTCCCAATCATTCTCAGCTGCTTCCACAAGCTTTCTGGATTCTTGGACAGACCTCCAAGCAACGACACAGTGGCCAAGAGCTTTCATTTTTGGGGGCAGCATGTGCTCAACATCCAAGATGTGCACGTTCTCATCGCTTTGAACCATGTCTGAAATCACCCTGCGACTGACCACATGCTCCAGCCTCTTCAAGAAGCTCTCAATTGCCTTGAAAGTCATCACATGCTGTGAGCCCATCTGACCTGGAGGCACACTGATCCCAATGAAGCTACTCTTGAGGGCGCGCAGTAGCTTCAATCCAGACTTGGTTTCTGGAGAAACTCCTCGGAACTTGTCCTTCTCTGAGCGTTCCTTTGGGAACAGGAAGTACTGTGCAAATTGGGCTAGCCCGTCTCCAACACGCCAACCACCAGGCTCCGACTGCTCATTGATCACAGCGTGGATCCAGCCTCGGATATGTGACTGGATCTGAAGGCACGAACCAGTACAATGACTCAATGACAATGATGACAATGACATCTCAGATATAGTCGGTACAGTCCATATTAGTACAGTACAGTATCAGTGACAGTAGGTAACCAATATCAATCAATAATATCAATATCAATATAATTTGAATCATTTGGGGGAAGTTTGTGTAAGGGTCGTGCGTGCTGGGGGTAGCAGGCAGAAAGGATCCATCACCTCACCCTGGCCTACAACCGTGGGCAATTCCAAACCACAACATCAGGGAAAAACTGAACTCTGGTCTTTGATTAATTTATTGTCCAATGTTGAATGTCACTATCTCCATACCAGACAGAACAGACTAAATGAAATCAATCATATGAATAATCATATGAATCGTATGTCATAGTAATTCTATATATTTTGTCTATTGTTTATTGTCCCCTATATAAGCCTACTTTACATATCATATATCGAATCATAATCATATCATATCATCATATCTATAATATAGCTCAACTCCACACTCAACAAAACACGCAACACAAAATGCCGGCTTTGAGTCTGCGGAGTTGAAAGCAGCACCACTGACTAAACATAAAGCAGTGCAGGGCATAAACAAATTGAGTATAGGTGCAGTACCCAGTATGCAGCAGGCACTGTGCAGTTGTTCATGCAACACTTCAAGCCAGGAAACATCGAAGCACGAAGCATCCGTCCACAGAATCTGGCAGGTGTAGATTTTCCTCCTTGGGAAGGGACTCTGACGAGTGTTGGAAATTCGCAGACTCAATGTCTGATGGAATGGCCTGGTTTGCAAATGACTCCACCTCTGACAGCGCGGTCTCAAAGCTAGGGCAAAGGGTGTTCAACCAGGCAAGGATCTCAGAGCGCTTCTCCAGCAAGCTAGAGTGTCCATCATTGGCACCTTCCACTTGGTCCTTCGCAGCACTCAATTGCCTGATGAGTTCATTCATGGATGAGAGGGAACGAACTGCCTTGAAGAGTTTCTCCATCTCTTCAACCTTGTTGGAACGGATGTTTTCTGGATCCAACTTCACGATGCTGTCCACTGTTTCTCCGGCTGCTGTGGCTTTTTTCAAAGTCAAAGCAGTAGCTGCCACTTCACGGAAGGCTGTCAGCACCCGATTCCACAAGGCCCTGCAAGGAAGTGTGGAAAAGCAAAAAGAACAAGAGCAACTGTGGTGTCAGAGTTTATCTAACACCCTGAGGCATACGGCCTACGAGTCTATGAGTGCGCCTGATGGTTGAATCGATCCTAGTTGACCGTCAAAGTCACAGTCTCTTAATCTGAATGCAATGCTGTCGACAGTCTACAGTAGTTATCAAAAGTCAAATCAAAATTTACAAAATGGATGAATGACAGGAGTCACGAGTGTCAGAATGACTCACCCTGTATGAACCACATGACTCATGACTCAAATGATTCTGAATTCTGAGTTCTCTTCAAAACACATTGCCACATTGCTATTTTCAAAGGGGTGGTGGGAGGATTCACTTAGATTACTCAGTTCCCTTACCTACCTGACCTAACTGTACGCCTGCCTATATACAAGTACACACGGATGGAACATGCTGGACCATGCCTCCATGCACTCTGGGAAGACATGGCAAGAGTCAGCTTGTGTGAGAACGTAGTCTTGGGATTTGCCACTTGCCGTAGATAGTTGTGATCAGCAGCTTCACCGTTCCCCTCCACTGCCAAACATGCGAACAGTCGCTGTAGGTCCTTCATGATGACATGTGAAAAGCCGCTCGCATTAGCATACTCTGCAACCTGGGCATCCGCATCGAGATGTGAGGGCAGCCTCAGGCCGGTTGCAAAGCACCGTGCCGTGCCATAACAGTTTCTCCAAACACAACATTGACTTGATTTCAACCTTGATTTTGACGGTGATGTCAATTCAATTCACAAGGTTGCTTTCTCTTGCTATGACATTCATTGACTGGCATGATAAAAAATGAAATCAACATGAATACTGGCGATGACAAGCTAATAGCAGTCAATGTCAATGTCAATGAGTATTGAGATGAGACGCCACTTTTTCTCATCAGCAAAGGCAGCATTCTTCAGAGATGGATCCAAATGAGCCCTCACCCACTCTGTCGAGGCATTCAATTTGAGCCTGTCATACCAGCATTCAAGCCCGACAAATTGCGCCTTTCGCAGACAAGTGTGAAAGGCGGCACTCCGCTCTTCCTGCTGAGGCGTGCTCCAAAGCTCAGCCAAGTTCAGAGCACAGGATTTGGGATCTGAAAGCCGAAGGAACTTGAAGAAGAGGAAATCGGGAGCCTCAAAGCAGTACCAATGGCAAAATGGCAACGTGAATTCAAGGGCACTAGATGCTGAAATTGCTGAACGGCCTCAACTGGATTAATTTTGGAAAACCGTTCTGTAGAATGGATGCAATTTCAACTGTCAGTCTTTGCGATTCCAATCCAATGTTTATCAATGTCAATCTCACAATGTCACAGCCTGAACAACTGGATGAACACTGCGTGTCACACAACAAGTGACACGTCACACATTAGTCAACTAAAAGTCGTTGTTTGTTACCAAAATAGTCAAAGTAAAGTGTGTTATAATGACTGAAATGATTGCCATTGTTTGAATCCAAAAAACATCAATGATCTTCTTGGCAACAGATTGGATCATCTCAACCAATGTTCCCTCTGATTCCAGAAGACTTTTGTAGCACACGCTGAACTCATACTTGATGCTGCCAATTTTGGCTACTTCATCAGCTGCTTCCTCGGAGGAAAAGTTGCGAATCCTT